TATGTGCATGTAAGCGGAAAAGTTCGAATAGATTGGATTCTTTTTTCGGTAAGTTATAAAAGTAATACAGATAATACTTGGATCATACACAGAAGGCTCAGCTGATAATGACACATAAAAAATGGAAGTTCTGGAGGCCAAACGGAGAAACTTTAGAAAAGTTAATAGCCACAGGCAGCCTATCTGATATTTTTTATCAGAGACAGACAGTGTTTCTTCCAAACTTTTTTCCTCGGAATGCACTTGACATTTTCGTGTGGGGGGGGGGGACCACAATATCCGAGGGGGGGGCGGACACTGTCAAAAGTATATATTTTCTATATAAATTCCATTTCGTTCGGGGGGTCGGTAGACTTTCTTCGGGGGATGGTGCCCCTTGAAGAGATGCCTGGAAGAGTCCTATACTCAATCACTTAGGACAGCACTTGAAAGGCTACAAAATACCTGCAGCAAGATTGTGCTGCAGTGGATCCCTAGCCACTGCCAGATAAAAGGAAATGAGATCGCGGACCAGCTGGTGAAAATTAGGGGAAAGATTGAACAACCAGAAATCTAGCTACATCTAAAGGAAATTTTTTTTAACAATTAAAAACTCTATCTAAAATATGGTCTGAGACGCACCTAAAAATGACTACGGATATCACAAACTAACACTTAAAGAACAACACATTAACTTCAGACTCAGAACAGGCCACAAGAGACCAGAGGCGTAGCGAGGGGAGGGGCGGGAGGGGGACATATGTCCCCGGGCGCAGACCTTAGGGGGGGGGGGGCTCCAAATTGAAAGTTTGAGGGGGGGGGTGCAAATGTAATGTTCGAGAGGATGCAAATCGAGTGTTTGAGGGGGGGTGTAAATGAAAAGTTCGAGGGCGGGTGCAAATCGAAAGTTTGTCCCCGGGCGCCGGGAAGTTTCGCTACGCCTCTGCAACAGACTGAAGCAGCAGATGTATGAAAACTAAAAGTTGGGTCTGGTGAAACTTGCCCTTTTGGCAGGGCCGCGGAGAATGCAGAGCACGTCCTTCGGGACTGCTCGATATACAGCCAAGTTCTATCGAAACCCTGGCATCTATACACGCCACCCAAGGAAAACCTATATGAGGAACCCACAGAACTGTAGAGACAACAGTCCAGTTCTTCTACGAAGTTGGACTTGTTGTTTAAATCCTACAACATAAATTCAACCCAGAATAAAAGAAGGAATCTTGTTTCGATAAGTAATAAATTTACATGGATTAAGACATCACAACAACCAGTAGCAAGTGGTCATAGTTAAATGCTAACGAGTAATAAACTAGCAGCACGCCTTGACATTTGAATTAATGGTGACTTGCTTAATCCGATGGTTTTAAATTTTCAATTCTTCTTCATTGGAAGTATAGGCAGTTAAATACGCTGGTTCACAAAATCGATATTTTAACTGGAGAATTCGAGGTTAACCCTATATGGCTTTTGCCTTTCATATAAACGCACCCATATATTTATATGTATATATATATATATATATATATATATATATATATGTATATATATATATATATATATATATATATATATATATATATATATATATATATATATATATATATATATATATATATATATGTATATTGTATATATATATATATATATATAAATAAATAAATATATATATATATATATATATATATATATATATATATATATATATATAGATAGATATAGATATATATATATATATATATATATATATATATACAAATATATATATATAGAAATATATATATATAGAAATAAAAAATATACTCTTGAGGGAAAAAAATCGATAGTCGCTAAACAGGAAAGGGTAGAGAATACATCTAAAGCTAGACCTAACACATACGACATCATAACATAATTGTAACTTGATAATATAATATACTAGAGCATATATTAGCACACATAAACATATATATATATGTATATATATATATATATATATATATATATATATATATATATATATATATATATATATATATATATATATATATATAGGGAGAGAGAGAGAGAGAGAGATAGAGATAGATTTATATATATGTATATAAATATGTTTTATTTATTTATTTATTTGTTTATTTGTTTGTTAGTTATTATATATTTTTATATTTTTAATTTTATTTATTTATATACTTATAATAAATATATATATATACTATATAAAATAGTTTAACTCGTTATTTTTCAGTATAACCGACCTGTAAGTATAATAAAATAGTCAGACCTCCAGCTTATGTTTTGTGAAAATACAGATAGAATCTTTTTTCCAATTTTTTTTTTCATCAATCTCAAGCAGAGCCGGCGTTAGGGGGTGGCAAACGGGGCGGTCGCCGCAGGCCCCGCGCTTGAAGGGGCCCCGCGCTTCAGCAACGCCATTGTTGCCTGAATTAGTTTGTAAACTTAAATAATCTTTGCTGAATTAAATAAAAAAAAAAAACCCAACGAAATGGCCGAAATTGTTGAATGTTAAAACTGAGGCCACGGCTGATGTTAGTGAGTTATCCTCTACATGGACTGGGACAGACCGTTATTCTAAAGAAAGACATTAGTGTCACACATCGCTGGCACGGTCGACTCGCTATTGTCCTGAGGTGACTGGAGATGGCGGTCGCGAATTAGCCCCCGACCTGACATGGGAGGTAAAATCGGGAAAAACGTAAAAAGATACCCTATTGTTTGCGGACCGTTGAAGACGTTTTTTTTTTTTAGTGAGCAGGCGAGGGTGCCTGTAGTAAACAGTCAGTGACCTGATGATGGCTTGCAGGGGAGGAGGGGGGGGGGGGGAGAGCGGATGGGGACATGCCCCGGAAATCCAGAGTATTTATCCCTAAAATCACAATTTATACACGGTATGGGCATCTTTTGTGTAATTATAGGCATCCATTCAGTAATTATGTTCATATTTATTTTATATATTGTCAGGTCATCTTTAAATACATTATACTTGTATTTATTTTTATATTTTTGAAGGGCATTTATACAGTAATTATGTCCATTTTCATTTTGGTAAACTTTAACGGTATTCGTAAAGTGATTAAGCACATGTTTATTTTAATTAATTGTAGGGACAGTGGCGTAGCGAGGTCGGGTGTCACCCGGTGCGGCACTTAATGGTGTCACACACCCCCCCCCCCCCGCCTTAAATTTTTCTCTATATATTTTGCTATTTTTTTGCCTTGGTGTCATTCCCCCGAGGCGTAGCGACCCTTCCCAGGAAAAAACTTTCAAACTTTCGATTTGCACCCCCCCCCCCACCTCAAACTTTCGATTTGCACCCCCCCTCAAGTTTTTCTCTATATATTTTGCTCTTTTTTGCCTTGGTCTCGACCCCCTAAATGGTGTCACCCGGTGCGATCCGCACCCCCCGCCCCCCCCCCCTCGCTACGCCTCTGTGTAGGGATATTCAGTATAATAGTTAAGGCCATAGTGATTCTTGTTTTAAAATAGTGTAGGCACACTAAACAAATTATAAAGTCTATACTGTTTGATACATCGGGCCGAGACTGTTTTATGGTAAAGTTCTCCTGATTTCTCAAACGTCTAAATTACCGGCAGTCCGAGCATGCCATCGCGAAACTCATAAATAACATGAAGCACATGGTTCACTTTCTATAGACACGGACCTTCTCTTGTGAGAACACGGTCTAAACCTGTAATGTAATACGCTGACGCTCTATAAACACGCACCTTCTCTTGAATGGCTGCGGTCAGAGATCCAGTAACGTAGTACCCGAACTGATTTTTTTTTTGGGTTTGGCATCCCATAGATTTAAATGTACAGTTATCCTTCACGGGCTTCACCTCACCCCACCAACTGTCACCCCCCCCAGTGTTCCACCTTACTGAGCGTCCGTGATTACATTTGAGAGTCATTTCATTTGGATATCTATAGCTGTAAACAGTGTTTTCACGATTCGAGCTTATTCCGAAATCTATCAATGTTTTGCTATTTTCCCCGACATCCACACACTTTGAATGCCACTGTTGAGAGTGAAGATGAGTTTAGAACAGAGTATTTCTTGTGTATAATGGATCAAGCAATTATTGGCATGAACACTCGATTTGAACAGCTACGACAATACGATTCACTCTTTGGGTTTCTCTACAACATAAACTCAATGAGAAAATTAAATAATGAGGATTTGTTAAAAAGTTGCATGAATCTTGATATAGCGTTGCGATCGGTGAGCTCACGTGACGGGGCAGATTTGTGTACAGAGCTCACAATGTTTCGAGAAATTTTGCCCGAAGGTATTAAGTCAGCCAAACAGTGCCTTCAGTACATTTGGAGTATTCGGGATTCCTTTCTCAATACGGCGATCGCCTACAGAATCTTGCTAACAGTTCCAGTCACAGTTGCAAGCGTCGAAAGAAGTTTCTCCAAACTGAAGTTGATCAAGAACTATTTGAGATCAACGATGTCCCAAGACAGGCTTTGCGGCCTGTCGATTCTGTCAATAGAAAAAGACATAGCCTCCAGTTTGGACTATGATGATATAATCATGGAATTTTCCTCACGAAAGGCAAGAAAAGTAGATCTTCGTTTGTGAACGTACTGGTAAGATTTTCAACATCAATGTAAAAAAATCAGGTTTGAAGCTGACGTTCTTCGTCACTTTGATGCGTGTCTCAAACTTATATCTGTTTTATTTTTTACTTTTCAAACAAAAAGCCTTAACAGAAACAAGCAACGTTTCGAAAGCACTTCTAAGTAAACAAATTATTTGTTAATCAGTGTCTTAATGTTAATACGACATTGATAAACAGCTTAAAAATACATATATATCGTTAAAAATATTAATTAGCGTTGAGAAGGAAAAAAAACGCCTCACTGTACATGTTTTATTTAATTAAACACCAAAGAAAAAAATATAAGGCCCCGCGCGGATGGTTGGCCATAGGCCCCGCGTACCCCTAACGCCGGCTCTGATCTCAAGAGTAGGATTTGCACATGTTGCGAATGTATCGCACCACCTTTTAGTACGATGGAGAGTCTAAGAGAAAAATGTGTAAGGGAGAGTGTAAGAGAGGCTGGTGTAAGGGAGAGTCTGAGAGAAACATGTGTGGGGAGAGTGTAAGAGAGGCTGGTGTGAGGGGAAGTCTAAGAGAAACATGTGTGGGGATAGTAAGATAGGAGAGTGCAAGGGGGAGTCTAAAAGGGAGAGAGTAAGAGGAGTGTGAGGGAGTCTAAGAGATACATGTATATATTTAATAATAAATATATAGATTTATTTATTTATTTATTTATTTATAAACATCGAGATCTACTTCAACCAGATATATAATGAAAAAATGATTTAAACTGCACTCCATTTTCTCTTAAATTAGCCCGAACGAACAAAAATTAAAAGATCATCTGACGGAGACAAACTGGTGATTCACGGTACACCAACCAACGACAGAAATTTGTAATGACACTTGATACAGTATTAAATATATATATATATATATATATATATATATATATATATATATATATATATATATATATATATATATATATATATATATATATATATATATATATATATATGTGTATATATATATAAGCATACAGTTTAAATAAGCATACAGTAAAAGGTATATGTATATAAGTACACATAAATTCATATATACTTATTATATATATATATATATATATATATATATAATATTTTTGTATCTATCTATATATATACGTATATACGTATATATGTATATACGTATATATGTATATATATATATATATATATATATATATATACACATAAATTCATATATACTTATTATATATATATATATATATATATATATATATATATATATATACATAATATATATATATATATATATATATAATATTTTTGTATCCATCTATATATATACGTATATACGTATATATGTATATACGTATATATGTATATATATATATATATATATATATATATATATATATATATATATATGTAATTTTATATATATATATATATATATATTCAATTTTTATGTATGAGTACATTATGAATATATGTTTGTCTATGTCTATACCCTATCTACACTTTAATTGGTTTATTTTTCAACTGAAGGTTTGCCATTAACCTAGAATGCTTATCGTGGAGGAAAATCGACTACGCGCTACATTTCTCGGTTCGGTTCCTGACAAACAGCACTTATAAAACTGGCAGAAACGCCATCGGCATTGATGAAAAGTTTAATGAGAAATGGTCAGGCGGTCACGTATTCCGACATGGGACCAAATTTCCTTTTCAAAAGAACGAACCATTTATTGCGGTAATGTGGATGAAGCCTCCTAATCTTGAGGTAAGAGAAGTGATTTTTACTTTCTCGTATATTCGAAGTGTAGAGAAAGTCTTATAATCCTGCAAAAAAAAACGAGATTTGTAAAAATCTCGACGTTTTACACCTCACTGATACGGAAAACATAATTTTGCAATTTTGTCCGTATGTCTGTGTGTCTGTGTGTCTATGTGTGTCTGTAAACAAGATAATTTGAGTACCGTTACAGCTAGGTTGATGAAATTTCAAATATAAGTATATTATCAAAATCGTAGATATCTATCAGCTTTTGAGCGATTTTCGATAACAGAAGTGGTACTTTTTCTACTTTGAATTTTTCAAAAGCCTATAACTTGAGTACTATTTCAGTTAGATAAATGAAAATTCACATGTAAGTAAAAGATCTAATTCTCTACCCTTTTTTTTTAAATTTTGAGTAATTTCCATTGACCGTAAGTACTATTTTACGCTATTTCCGATTTCTCAAAAAACGCATGTAAATTTATAAAGTACTAATAATATTGTGCACTATTGTTTTGGCGTTCGCTTGGTGCGCAATTCTATTTTATACTAGATTTTATTCTATTTTTAAAAGTTTAAGAAAACAAAAATCATGTCTATATTCCGTGTTGCCATCCCACCTTATGTTATATTAGAATATTCGAGAGAGTTTATTTTGTTATTAATACCTTGATTTATTTGACTTAGTCCTCTTTGCTCCTTATGGACCATAGGGTCTCACTATTTCATCGTATTTCATCCGATCCCAGGCTAATTATTTTGCCGCCTCAAAAAGCAGATCATTTTGGTCGGGTTGGTTAAGCTCATGGTTGCTGAGCCGATAAGTCCTGAGTTCAATACCTCAGGCAGATGAAGCTCAATAGCTGGGAATGCAACTATCTAGGAGAGTAAACTCCAAATTCATACAACTGCTGCCTTGTAATTTGTTCTTCGGTGGAAAAAGGCTATGGAAGCAAATCCAAAAAGAAAAGCAGGCTGAGATCTGAGTCAACGGCCTATAAGGTACATTGCAGGTTGACATGCAATCCTTAATTGTGTTGGGGGGAATCCCTTTCAACGCTAGAATTATGTACGAAGAACACAAAAGAAACTTTAACAGCGTAAGACTCTAGAACAAACTCATATTTCTATTAATTTTTAAAATATTGTACTTTTTTTTTAATTGAATAATTAGTGATAACAATGTATATGTTTCAGATCGCGGTAAATGAGATCCATAAGTACTACAAAGATAATTTAAAACCCTGCTATACCCACCTGGCATATTATAAAGACATCAGCGTCAGCAAAATATACATGTCATAGTTCATGCACATAAATTAGCGCATGCACAAGCACAAAAAGCAAGGACCAAAACAATCACAAGAATAATTACATGCACATGCAAATACACATACACATGTACATGCGAATGCACATATACATACAAATACACATACACATACACATACAATTACACATACACATACACATACACATACACATATACATACACACACACGTAACATACACATATCCTTGCCCATGCCCATACACATGCACATGCACATGCACATGCACATACACATACACATACACATACACATACACATACACATACACATACACATACACATACACATACACATACACATACACATACACTTACACATACACATACACATACACACACACATGTACACGTACACGTACACCTGTGATACAATATCGTCATTGAACGCGGGTTTTGAACTTAAACCATCAACAACAATCAACTGTTGACTAACCGCACCAATGAATTAGAGCTAGTTTGTCATCATTTTTAAAAAAGTCAATCCGTGCTAATTACTATAATTTAAATCGACTTTCTTTTACTTATCTGTGATTTATTATTCTTGCTCTTTTTAAATAACTAAATTTTTCAGTAAAAATATTGAACTGCAATTCAAATCGTCTTATTATATGTAGTATGTTCAATCTCTTTTAGGTTTAAATTTTAAATATAAAAACAGTGTGTACATTTGCTGAATGAACTAAATAAAATATATATTTGTTGAAAAGCGTGAATAAATTTACTTTTCGTAAAAGCAGAGTGAAACTCGATTGTACGTGTCAATAAAAACGAAACATCAAATTCGAGAATGCAGTCTATGTTTAATAATGCGATTTAAAACTAACGGCAGTCAAGCAGATTCAACGATAAATTAATGGTAAGAGAGCTTCACATTCGCAACAAAAAACAAATTAGAATTGCATCACAGAATAAATCGATAAAAAATAAGATATTCACACATACATTAGAACTTAATATAAGGGTCATTTTAAACCAATAACACGTTAACTATCGATAAGACAATAATTTTAACAACCTTCAAAGATCTGCAAAACAAATAAATCATCAAACATAGCCTACACCCTTACGTTTTTTTAAACATACAAAAAAAATAATATGGGCTTATACACATGGGGACCTTTACATACTGAGCTATTGATTGTGATTAACACAACCCACTATAAAAACACAATAAACTTAAACAACAGTTGATAGAGACATGTTGCAAACATTGAATACTCTAGAGCTTTATTACAAGGCTGGATCTTTGACAAGCGCAGCTAGATGATGGTGATGATGGTGATGATGATAATGATAGTGGTGGTGGATGTGAAGATGATGATGGTATGATGTTGAAGGTGACGACGATAGTGATGACTATGCTGGTGACTATAATGATGATGGTGTGATGATGGTGTGATGAGGGTGTGATGATGGTGTTGATGATAATGATCATGATGATAATAATAATGCTGATAATGCTGATAATGCTGATAATGATGATAATGATGATAATGATGATAATGATGATAATGATGATGATGATAATGATGATAATGATGATAATGATGATAATGATGATAATGATGATAATGATGATAATGATGATAATGATGATAATGATGATAATGATGGTAATGATGATAATGATGATAAGGATAATCATGATGTTCATGATGTTCATGATGATCATGATAGTGCTGGTGATATTGATGATGCTGGTAAAGACTACGATTCGGCTAATCTTAAACAAAACTTTACAAATCCCTCGCTTTCTGGCACTTATTGTAATGAGACCACACTGCTATATTTGGGATAACCTTCGTCCTGTTGTTAGTGTGTACTTTCTTACAAATGTCGCACCAATCAAACTTCCTATTCAGCGGAACCAGCTTATCTTTCTCTCTCAACATCTTGGCGTACTTTTTCTTATTAGCCGCCAGCTTTTTCAGATGCCTCGCTAAACTGGACGCATTGGGGAACTGCGAGGCGTCCACATAGCCCCCAGGGGGAATGTACTTCCGGTAGTTAAATCCGCCACGGGCCACCGGAATCACGTGATGCCGGTTGAAATTTCGAAAAAATTTCTCAGTCACGTAGTCTCGGCACAGCGAGTTCTCGAAGCTGAGGTAGAATCTGTAGGTGGTAGTCAGCATCTTTTCGCACTCTTCTTTGGTCGCTTTGGGGCAATTGAGGGGTCCGCAGTATCCGAAAATATCCACGTCAATGTATTTCTGAAAAAGACAAACATACAAACTGATTGGAGGCTTAAAAATCTTACTTTTTCGAACTGATCAACTTTAAACTTGTAGTAATGGAGTGATCAAAAAATTATATATTTTCTCTTTTTTTAGTGCCTTATTACATTAATGCTTGTTATTAAAACGTTTTAATGCGTTTTTCTTTAATATATTTTTTAAAAGTGTATTTTAAGAAAAAGTGGGTTGAATATAGGCCTACCTTCAGTTCTTTAGTGAAAATCTCTCTCTTGCTCTGTGTATAACAATTGCTAACCCACCAAACTGCCATTTTTGTTTTGTTTCTAGCAATTTCCACTATTAATCGATTTTGAAAAAAAAATCTGTTACTTATAATGAATAAGAGAATTACATTTAATAGTAAGTTACGCTCTTTTTTCGAACCTGACGGTCCACGGGGCAGTTGAAGTAGAGTTCACTTGTATCTGTGACTTTGTTATATGAAGGGATAATGTCTGCACAACTATTCTGAGTATCTTAATCTCCCTATCGTGAGTCAGGTACCCATCAGAGCTGAGTGAACTCAGGTAAGTTTTACTGACTTCAATCCAGGATTTTGAAATCGAGACTTTCAGGATTTGCAATCTAGCGCTATTAAATGACGTCACGCTATTTTTGACGATTTTTACCTCCCCCCTCCCCCTCCGTCACACATCGTCACAAAAAGCCAGACCCCTCCCCCTAAAATGACGTCACACTTCAGCCTACAACTCCCCCTCAAAATTGAGGTTGAATTTTTCTTAAAACATCGATATTTTTTCCAAAAATCTTGTCTGAACTCTATCAAATTAAAGTATTTTAATCAATGCCTGTTGCAATTTATTAAAACAGTTTTCTAAAACGCGAAATAACGTCTAAAATTTGTTTTCGAACATTGCTTTTATTATAATGCAAAAGTGTGACGTCGCACCATCTGAACCCCCCCCCTCCACCTCATCACAAACCGTCACAAAATTACGGACCCCCCTACGAGTGTGACGTCATTTATGGACGACCCCTAGGTCACGCCGTCCCTTACTTAATATAAGTAAATAAATGTACTGTTTTTAAAGTTATTTAACATATATCTTTGAGCATTTGTGGCGTCGGACTAAAAGACACTGGGCATTAACCTCCAGATTCAGACCCCCCCCCCCTCCAGAAATAACCGCCAATAACAAAAATAAACCTCGACTTAAAAATCTGGAGAAAAATCTCCCAAACGATTAAATAACCCGGACCAAAAAAAGTCTTAAGGATTTATAAGGAAGAGAAATTGTATGTAAATAATTGTGTACAAATTCAGGGCCGTTAACCCATGAAACCGTCACGTCAGTATAAGGGAGATAATTCAGAAAACTACATGGTACCTCTGGCTGCAGTGAATTAGAACAACATTGCTTCTCTCCCGTAAGTACTCTGTATTTATGCCAAAGTAACTAGAGCGGATTTTTTTTTCTTTTTAAACACTTTTTTATGTGTTTATTTTATTTTCACATCTATTCTTATTTTTCCACTAAACAGTCTACATTCAAGTGGGGTAGGCATGGTCGAGTCGGTAAAGCTCGAGGTTGCTAAGAGGGTCATCCATAAATGACGTCACGCTTTTTTTGACGATTTTACCTCCCCCCCCTCCCCTCCGTCACACATCGTCACATAAAGCCAGACCCCCACTAAAATGACGTCAGACCTCAGCCTACAACCCCCCTCAAAATTGCAGTTGAATTTTTTTAAACATCGATATTTTTCCAAAATCGTGTCTGAACTCTGTCAAAATAGAGTATTTTAATCAATTAATGTTGCAATTTATCCAAACAATCTTCAAAAACGCGAAATAACTTCTAAAATTCGTTTTCTGACACATTATTTATAATGCAAAAGTGTGACGTCACACCATCTGAACCCCCCACCCCCCTCGCTTCATCACACACCGTCACAAAAGTACGGACCCCCCTCCCCCCCCCCTACGAGTGTGACGTCATTTATGGACGCCCCTGAACCGAAAAATCCCAAGTTCGAAACCCCGGTTAGATGAGGCTCGTGAGCTGGGGACAGCCACTCTTCTAGGAGAGACAATTCCGAAATCAAACAACTGCTGCCTGGTAGTTTGTTTCTGAACAGACAAAGGCTATGTAAGCCAGAGGCGTAGCGACCCTTTCCGGCGCTCAGGGACAAACTTTCGCTTTGCAACCCCCCCCCCCCCCCGCCTCGAACTTTTGATTTGCACCCCCCCCCCCCTTTCTCAAACTTTCGATTTGCACCCCCTCCCCCCTCAAACTTTCGATTTGCCCCCCCCCCCCAACCCTCGAACTTTTGATTTGCACTCCCCTCAAACTTTTGATTTGCAACCCCCCCCCCCCCTCAAACTTTCAATTTGTTTTTCCAACCCATTTTGGTGGCGCCACCCTAAGGTCGGCGCCCGGGGACATGTGTCATCGTCCCCCGCCCCCTCCCCCCTCGCTACGCCTCTGATGTAAGCTAATCCAAAAAGAAACGCAGGCTGAAATGGAATTCAACGTCCTAAATGACGCATAATAAGTTGCCACGTAAAACTTTTGATGGAGAAAATCCTGTCCAAAATTGTAATTAAGGATAAAGCAGAAATGTACCAAAAATCATTTAAATAAACGTTTGAACTAAATTCTTACGGTAGGTCTTTTTGCTCAATAACTGGTCTCTATCCCGCCAAGCGAACAGGTTATTTGGTGCAAAAATATCCGAGTCGACCCTGTAGTTAAAAGTCCAGTTGAACACATTTCGCCATTGGCTGAAATTCCCTGAAGATACGTAACCTTATTATTAGTGGCGTTGCGAGGTCGGGTGTCACCCGGTGCAGCATTTAATGGTGTCACCCCCAGAGGCGTAGCGACCCTTGCCGGGGACAAACTTTCAAATTTTCGATTTGCACCCCCCTCCCCTCAAATTTTCGATTTGCACCCCCCCCCCCTCAAGTTTTTCAATATATATTTTGCTATTTTTTGCCTTGGTGTCACCTCCCTAAATGGTGTCACCTGGTGCGATCCGCACCCCCCCCCCCGCCCCCCTCCCCCCTCGCTACGCCTCTGGGGCTGGGTAAGAATAATTACCATAGAGTCAGAAATGTAGGTGTATAAGCAAATAATACCTCACAAAAGTTTGCAAACATTAACATTAGTTTTTAAAACGTTTTTCTTAACTCAGCTTCACGTTTGTTTGTTTGGTTGTTTGGATGTTTGTTGTTAAAATTGACATCGAAAATTAGCCCACTTCTGATTGCTCTAGAGACCTGAAATTTGGCATGCATGCTACTTTCGCCTAACAATTTCAGATGCAATCATAAAAACTAGCAATTAGTGACCGTAATTAGCTTAATTTAATTACGCCCCAAGGACCATAAAATTGAGGACATGATTTCTAAAGATACCGACAAGACTGGAGTCCTAATGACACAGTTACTTCGGCCCCAATCGATGTGAGCGCGCTGGCCGTGATCGTATAGTTGTTAGTACTTCGCGTTGTGGCCGCGACAACCCAGGTTCGAATCCTGGTCGCTCAAGATTTTTAGTCCGTGTATTTATAAACACTTTTTTAAAAACCACGTTTTTCATGTGTAGCAACGGACTAAAAAGGAGAAAATAAAATACTTAAAAAAAACTTTTTAAAAAACCACGTTTTTCTTGTGGACTAAAAAGTAGAAAATAACTATTTACATACATTTGATGACAAAAAACGTGGGTCGGGCAGATGGGTCGGGAAATTTGATGGTGAACGTACCCACGTTTTTTGTCATCAAATGTATGTAAATAGTTATTTTCTACTTTTTAGTCCACAAGAAAAACGTGGTTTTTTAAAAAGTTTTTTTTAAGTATTTTATTATTAACACGTTTTTATTAACTCAGCTTCGCGTTTGTGTGTTTGTTGTTAAAATTGACATCGAAAATTAGCCCACTTCTGATTGCTCTAGAGACCTGAAATTTGGCATGCATGCTACTTTCGCCTAACAATTTCAGATGTAATCATAAAAACTAGCAATTAGTGACCGTAATTAGCTTAATTTAATTACGCCCCAAGGACCATAAAATTGAGGACATGATTTCTAAAGATACCGACAAGACTAGAGGCCTATTGATACAGTTACTTCGGCCCCAATCGATGTGAGCGCGCTGGCCGTGATCGTATAGTGGTTAGTACTTCGCGTTGTGGCCGCGACAACCCAGGTTCGAATCCTGGTCGCTCAAGATTTTTTTTTTAGTCCGTGTATTTATAAACACTTTTTTAAAAACCACGTGTTTCATGTGTAGCAACGGACTAAAAAGGAGAAAATAAAATACTTTAAAAAAACTTTTTAAAAAACCACGTTTTTCTTGTGGACTAAAAAGTAGAAAATAATTTTTTCTTTTGTGCTTCCTCGAGCTGTGCAGGTTCTTGTGATGACTGACAAAAAACGTGGGTCGGGCAGATGGGTCGGGAAATTTGATGGTGAACGTACCCACGTTTTTTGTCAGTCATCACAAGAACCTGCACAGCTCGAGGAAGCACAAAAGAAAAAATTATTTTCTACTTTTTAGTCCACAAGAAAAACGTGGTTTTTTTAAAAAGTTTTTTTAAGTATTTTATCTACAATAATCTTGGTGAAAAAAATACATTAATTTTTTAACATGAAAATAAACAGGGAAGGTATATATTTATAAATATGTACATAAAGCATTTTCAAAAAAAAACATTCACAAATACTTTATAATTGCAGTATTGTCCAAAAAAAACATAATCTCGAGAAAAGTGAGTTTATAAATCTCATTCCAATATTAAAATAGTGTAAAATATTATGTTTAAACCCTCATAAAATATTTACATTCTACTTTTCTGACATGAGTTTTTTTTTCGATTGTATCATCGACAATATAAGTAGAAATGTACACCAATTTCACACAAAAAAAATGGACATACTGCATTTGTCCTATATACCCTCGATTTTTTTTTTTTAAATCTCGTCGATAACGAATTTATTTTAGATTTTTTTAAAAATATAATTGGAGTTTCTGAAGTATTTTTGTAGCTAAGAAAACTCACAAAATAACAATTAGAGTTTCTGAAGAAATTTTGATTAATGAACTCCTACAAAATAAAGTGTGGAGTGAGTAGACATTGTGTCACAAATCGACAAAAAGACTAGGGGACGGCGTAAAGCTCATGGTTGCTAAACCGAAAAGTCTCGAGTTCGAACCCTCGGGCAGATGAGGCTCGTTAGCTGGGGACAGCCACTCTTCTAGGAGAGACAACTCCTAATTCAAATAACTGCTGTTTTGTAGTTTGTTCTTGGTTGGACAAAGGCTAAGGAAGCAAATCCTAAAAGAAAAGCAGGCTGAAATCGGAGTGAATGGCCTCAATGGCGCATAACCAGTTGACACGTATCCTTAATTGTGATGGAGGCGTGGTCGAGTCGGCAAGGTTGATAAATTCGAAAAAAGGTCTCGAGTTCAAAACTTCTGGCAGATAAGGCTCGATCCCTTCCAACACTAAAAATTAAGAGCGAAGAAGAAGAAGACAAAAAGACGTAGAAAAAAAAACTACCTGGATAGACATAATTAGTTGGCGATTCCCACATAGCCTTGACCCAGATTTGACCTGGCGGCCTCACCGGTTGAGTAGAGCTACGATAGCCGGTAAAGAAAACAAGAACGTCCGCTTCAAGGTGCCTGTGCCCTTCTAAATCTAAAATGCATTTGTATTCACAGTCCTTGAAGTCCTTGTTATACGCATCACAAGCATCGTTCTTGAAAAATTTCGGGCAGTTGTATATGGATATAATTTTCGTGGTCTGATTGGCGCGCTTGACTTGAGGGTAGAGGTTCGGGTTTATGATGAACGGGGATTTGAAAGCGTGATCCTCCACCGGTTCGTATCCCAGTTTTTTCAGCTTCGTTCTGAATTTTTGTAAAGTCCATGCTTTCAATGATCTTTCTTTGTTATATCTAGATCGGAGCTGGCTGAATAGGATAAGAGAGACCATTGAAAAGATAACTGTTACGCTTGTCAACACTTTTAGTGTGTGGAGATTTAACCGTTTAGTCATTGTAGTACCTGAAAATGTGGAGAATTAAAATGAATATTAATTATAAATCGAAACACTTTTTTGGAACTTAACACCTACTTTTCAGCAATTTCCGGTAACTTGTCAGCGATTTCCGGTAACTAGAATTGGAACTTCTTATTGTTTTGGCTTTTCAAAAGCCTTTAACTTGAGTAAAGTTTCAGATAGATAAACAAAATTTCACTTATAAGTAAACGATATAATTATCTGCCTTCTGTCAAATTTTGAATGATTTCCGTTTATCGGAAATTGTACTTAACGCTATTTCCGATTTCTCAAAAAATGCATATGAATTTATAAAGTACTAATACTCCTCACTATTATACACACATTGTTTGCTGTTCACTTATTCTTATTTCTACGAGATTCTATTCTATTTTTATAAGTTTGAGTAATGAAAAAATGGATTAAAAATCATGTCTATATCCCGAGTTGCCATCCCTGTAGTGTTATATAAGAATATTCGAGAAAGTTTAGGGGAGATCACTCCCGCTTTGTTAAACCACCTGGCCTAGTTAAGGGCTACTTATTTATATTCCCAGAGACAAAATGATATTAACCAAATTGTTTTAGGCTATTGAACAAAATTTGTTTAGTTACAAACAATACTAAAAAACATCAAATACATAAAATTGTGTACATTATTTAACATGTAATGGACCTTTCGAACAGTTTCGGTTTCTAGACTATTCTCTTTGGCGTCGATTCGATTAGATCTAATCTAGGTCTAGTACCGGATTTAGACTATAAAATATAAAGTATAAGAATAATAAGAGTATTTATAAGTCTTTCGCTTCCTTCTACTATATTAAGCTGATAGTGATTTGGTTAGATGTATTGAATTATGGTTGTCAATAAAATTAAAACAAAATCCTGTTCTGAGTTCATACGCACCTAAATTTATATTGTATATCTATATTCTTATGACAAAGCACACGTAAGAAAAAAGCTTGTGTCTAGGTAATGTAAAGTCTTATGTGTACAACACAGAGGCTAAAATGATTTTCACAAGCAAGAGCGGAGGAAATCCTATGGTTAGTGTCATTTCCGCTTACTCTACCAAACACCTGTGTCAAATGGTGCTCGGTGCGGTTTAGGTTTTTAATGTGTCTAAAAATAGAACACTGGGTTGAGTTGATCTAGAGCTAGTTCAGATTATGGAATTTCTCATAGGTTTAGCTACACTGGCAAAAGTGGTTTTTGGTTAATAGATACAGCTAAGTTTAACAAAGTGGGTTTAATTATTGTTAACATGGGTAAATTACGTGTTTTTATTGTTTTAATTTTTTTTATTTTATTTTTTTACTTTTAGATTTTGCTATCAAATCGATAGAAAACGAAATATAAATAAAACTTAAGCCTAATTACAATTCAGAAATTTAGTTTTTTTTAGAATCGATGTTATAGATCTAAATGTTGCAAGAAAACTTGAAATTAACTTTTTTTTTATTTTAAAGTTTAAGCCTAAGCAGTGGCGTAGCGAGATCAGGTGTCACCCGGCGCGGCACTTAATAGTGTTACCCCCCCCCCCAGAGGCGTAGCGACCCTTCCCGGGGACAAACTTTCAATTCTCGATTTGCACCCCCCCCCCCTCAATCTTTCGATTTGCACCCCCCCCCCCCCTTAAACTTTCGATTTGCACCCCCCCCCCCTCCTTCAAACTTTTAATTTGCACATCCTCAAATTTTTCTCTATATATTTTGCTATTTTTTGCCTTGATGTCACCCGGTGGGGTCCGCACCCCCCTCCCCCTCGCTACGCCTCTTAGCCTAAGCTATAACCTGAAGTTTCACTTTCGTAAGACAAATATTGATTGGTTGTACATGAACTCAATGATCGATCACTTTCGTAAGACAAACATTGATTGGTTGTACATGAACTCTATGATCGATCACTTTCGTAAGACAAACATTGATTGGTTGTACGTGAACTCTATGATCGATCACTTTCGTAAGACAAACATTGATTGGTTGTACATGAACTCTATGATCGATCTTCTGAAAACCCCAGTTGATAGTAATTTATTCTCAAAAGTTTTTCGACCCAATTTCTTTAAACCACCGCACACGATTTATAATTTTTTTACAAATTATTCGAAAACATTTCGAGGCTATTCATGGCTGCTTCCGTTGTCATTTTGCTTAGGTCGAATGACATTGACTGAATGACTGATTCACTGAATAAAAGACTGACTAATTCACTGACTGACTGAATGCGTGATGACTGTGTGAATTGGTGTGTAACCGAGAGGTGCATTGAGTGAAAAAAAAAATATTCTGCGTCTTAGCACAGTGTCAGTCTCGTCACACTAAAGCAAAAAAAAAACAAGAACTTGTTTGTTTATCTCATCCAGAGGCGTCGCGAGGCGGGGTCGGAGGGTGCGGACCGCACCGTTGACACCATTTTGGGGGTGACACCAAAGACAAAAAAACTATACAGATGAAAAATTGTTTTTGCCAGTTAATTAATGCTTGATTAGAGTGAAAAAGTCTTTTAAATACAAATTGACAAAATCCTACAAGGGTGGGGAGGTGACACCATGACCTAATCCTGCTAACCATAGAGAAAACAATGCTACATACAACTGTATTAATAACCTCGTTACTGTCAACTGTACACTTATAAAGCTTTCACCAAAGGGTGACACCAACTGCAAAATTTACAGAGGAAAAGATGTTACGTTGCTTAATCTTAATAGGCATGCATATATATATATATATATATATATATATATATATATATATATATATATATATATATATATATATATATATATATATATATATATAGCTTATACTTTTTTTTATTTCGTGGGGGTTGACACCATGAGGTTCCGCACCAATTGACATCCGACCTAGCGACGCCACAGATCTCATCTGACTATTGAACCGGTCGATCCTTCTCTTTGAAAGCGTTCAGTTCAACTGATTGAAATCCCCTAACAATGTGTTAAAACAGTGGCTTTGGTTTTCCATTCTTGCAATCATGGCGCGTTCATAATAAAGTTCCAAGCTTGACGCTTTGGGAACATTCTATAATGTATTGCTTCCTTTGTTTCTTCCTACTATTTAAATTTAAACACGCCTACTTGAGAAAAATGTGGCATTCTGTGTGGATATTTTATTTTAACTTATTGGATTACGTGAGCCATTTCAGGAATGAAACTCAAATTTGAATTTGTCTGTCTGTATTTTATGAGAACAATGATAAATTGTCGGCCTTATGGTCTGTCGGCCTTATGGTCTGTCGGCCTTTTGGCTGTCTGCCTTATTGCTATCGGCCTTATGTCCTGTCGGCCTTTTGGCTGTCTGCCTTATGGCTGTCGCCTTCTGTCCTGTCTGCCTTATGTCCTGTCGGCTTTTTGGCTGTCTGCCTTATTGCTGTCGGCCTTATGCCCTGTCGGCCTTTTGGCTGTCTGCCTTATGGCTGTCGGCCTTATGTCGTGTCGGCCTTATAAGGATAGTAACTAGCATTGTCTCTTGGCGTTCCGCCTTATTGCATGTCAGCGATGATGCAACGGCTTTTGACTTGGTTCTTTGATGGTTGTCTCACCTCGTTGACATAGATGGATCTATAAAAACAGTAGTGACCGCATTTCGCATTATTTAGGTGTTGATCCTTTGAGTATAAGACACTCCCGTAATCTTCAGTCACTTGGACCCTTTATAGTTCACCTTATAAGGATTGCAACTAGCTTCGTCTCCTTTCTTGAACGTTTCACCTTATTTCATGCATTATTTCGATGGTTGTCAAGATAGGAGCTATGCAGTAACACATATTTTGCGATATTAGTATTGTTTAGGCTTGTCGGCCTTATGGATTGTCGGCCTTATGGTCTGCCGGCCTTATGGTCTGTCGGCCTGTTGGCTGTCTGCCTTATGGCTGTCGGCCGTATGTCCTGTTGGCCTTATGTCCTGTCGTCCTTTTGGCTGTCTGCCTTATGGCTGTCGGCCTTGTGTCCTGTTGGCCATTTGTCAAGTCGGCCTTTTGTCTTGTCGGCCTTTTAGATGTCGGCCATATGTCCTACACCCGTTTTCCAGCAATGGGAACTAAATTTTTAATTCATTTCTTCTGTCTTCTTTGATTTGCCTCCACAATAGGATGCTTCATAATTTAACATAGTGTTTTAAAAGACCTATACTAGTTATTGCAACATCACATGGTTTATTGTCATCGTTGATTTTAAATGTATGTAAATATTATGCGTTTAACGATAGCTGCACTTGATATGCCTTGAAACAGTTCATTCAGTAAAAGATTGTATGACAAATAGCTTTTGTTTTATTTAACAAAAGTTGGTATTGTGCTGATTAAAATGTGAATGTAGGAATTGTGCTAATTACAATGTGGATGTAGGTATTGTGCTAATTAAAATGTGGATGTAGGTATTGTGCTAATTACATAATGGATGTAGGTATTGTGCTAATTACATTGTGAATGTAGGTATTGTGCTAATTACATTGTGAATGTAGGTATTGTGCTAATTACAATGTGAATGTAGGTATTGTGCTAATTACATTGTGAATGTAGGTATTGTGCTAATTACATTGTGAATGTAGGTATTGTGCTAATTACATTGTGAAAGTAGGTATCTTGTTAATTACAATGTGGATGTAAGTATTGTGCTAATTACGTTGTGAAAGTAGGTCTTGTTTAAATTACAATGTGATTGTAAGTAATGTGTAAATTACAATGTGAATCTAAGTATTGTGTAAATTACAATGTGGGTGCGCTTGAAATACTTTGTTTCAAATCTCGAACCAATTAATGTTACTCTGAAATAGGTGAACTCTACTTCACTTCAATGGACCGTCAGGTTCGAAAAGGACACTTTATTTTTTTTTGGTCACAACTATATAAATCCTGTAATAAACTACTTTACAAACAAAATAAAAATGTGTTACTTCCACACACAAACGGTAGCTCTTTTTAAATCTTTATAATTACACGTATTACAAGGGGTCATCCTGGTCGAGTCGGTAAAGCATATGGTTGCTAATCGAAAAGTCTCGAGTTCAAACCCTCGGGCAAGTTTGAAATCCAGAAATAAAAGCAGGCAGATATCTGAGTCAACTTGCGTAACAAGTTGACACGTAAACTTAATTGTGTTGGAGGGAATCTCATCCAACATTAAAATTAAGAATCCAGTATAAGAAAAAAAACGCATTAAAAATTGTCCCATTTTTTTACTTTCTCGTATATACGAAGTATAGAGAAAGTATAATAAGTCGCTATCTGGGTGTCTTCATTCTTCTTAGTGTACAAAGTGTACCTTAGTGTACAAAGTGTACATTAGTGTACAAAGTGTACCTTAGTGTACAATGTGTACCTTAGTGTACAAAGTGTACCTTAGTGTACAAAGTGTACCTTAGTGTACAAAGTGTAATTTAGTGTACAAAGTGTACCTTAGTGTACAAAGTGTACCTTAGTGTACAAAGTGTACCTTAGTGTACAAAGTGTACCTTAGTGTACAAAGTGTACATTAGTGTACAAAGTGTACCTTAGTGTACAAAGTGTACCTTAGTGTACAAAGTGTACCTTAGTGTACAAAATGTACCTTAGTGTACAAAGTGTACCTTAGTGTACAAAGTGTACCTTAGTGTACAAAGTGTACTTTAGTGTACAAAGTGTACCTTAGTGTACAAAGTGTACATTAGTGTACAAAGTGTACCTTAGTGTACAAAGTGTACCTTAGTGTACAAAGTGTACATTAGTGTACAAAGTGTACATTAGTGAACAAAGTGTACATTAGTGTACAAAGTGTACCTTAGTGTACAAAGTGTACCTTAGTGTACAAAGTGTACCTTAGTGTACAAAGTGTACCTTAGTGTACAAAATGTACCTTAGTGTACAAAGTGTACCTTAGTGTACAAAGTGTACCTTAGTGTACAAATTGTACCTTAGTGTACAAATTGTACCTTAGTGTACAAAGTGTACCTTAGTGTACAAAGTGTATATTAGTGTACAAAGTGTA